AACCCCACCCTGCCTCACACTCCTACCACCTGCCCCACACACTGGGTTCTTGGGGTTGGGTGCAGAGGCAGTGGGTTGAGAGTGAGAGGCACTGGGTCAGGATTGGCTGTGGCAGGGCACTGTTGGTGCCTGCCACTTTAACCAAGGGCTGTGTGCTGTTGATGGCAACACGGGGAGGGGCAACAGGGGGGGTGGGGGTAAAGGGATGCTGACTGGCCAGGGGGGCCTGCCACTTTAAGGGCTGAGTCAAGCAGCCAGCAGGTGCTTGATTGCGGCACCCATTTTAGAACCATGGCTGCCTATATAAACAGAGCAGTTTTCTGCTGGCAGCCAAGCAGGAAACATTACCTAACTGAGCTGCTGTATGAGAGCATCTACAGGTAGGAGCAGGAGATTCTTGGTCCTCGGCATGACCTAAAACTGCACCCTGCTGGGAGTGGGTGGACTCCCAGTGGTGCAGGAACCTCCAGGAAAATACCAAACCAGTTACCACCCTGGAAGGCTGGTCGGGGTGCCTCAATAATCCCTTGCTCCCCACATCACAGTGGGTAGCAGTTGTGGCCAGGCATAGCTATGGCCACATGAGCCCTCGCTGACTAGGGAAGCCCCATAGCCCCAGTGAGGGGGTGAAAGGTGTGGATCCCTAGTAAGGGTAGGCCCCCAGTGAAGGGGTAGAGATGTGAAGCCCCAGTGATGGGGTGGATGTGGAGCCCTGGTGAGGGGGGAAACCAGAGGGCTGGGAGACCAGTGTGTGTGTGTGTAAGTTTGTCTAGAGCTGCCCTGGGAGGGGCCAGGGCAAGCTTGACCCCAGTCAGGTAATAGGCTGGCTACTACTCCAGTGAGGGTTGCGGGAGAGACCCAAAAGGTGGTACGTCTGCCACCCATGGTGTGCTCTAGATAAAACCTATGGCCGAAAGGGCCCAATCCAAGAGGGTGCAAGGCAGTATAAGTTGTTAATGCGTAAAAGAGACCCTGTGAGAGGAGGTGGTGCGTCAGAGGCCCTGGTGAAAGGAGGGCGATATGAATGCATGTGTGTGTGAGTCCTGACAATGAGGGCTAAGCTTGGTCTGCCTGTAGGCCAGGAGCACTGTGTCATCTGGATGCCATCTGCAAGGCTTGGGCTGCAATGTAGGGGAGGAACAGAGCCGCAGATAGCGCTTGCTACCATTGGGACAAGAATATGCAGCCTCCCACCTAATTGGAACCAATTAAGAAACAACAAGATGTGGCAGGTGAGTGAGGTGGGTGGTTGGTCTAGAAACAGGTGGGTGGGCCAATGGCAGACCAGCCCCAAGAAGGCCCCCTGTTACATTGATCATCGATGTTTACAAATGGGTCTGGGTACAAAAAAGGTTGAGAGCTACTGTTCTAAATCAACACAGCCTTTGCAGCCCAGCTCCCTCCTGATGAGCCATCAGGTGGCTGTGAAGGACCTGGATCTTCAGGCTGATCATGAACCTTGCATTCAGTACCGGGGTCATTCAGTGCATTTAGTACTGCCTGTTCTCCCACTTCTCCCCTTCCTGGGAATATGGGGACATAGGAAAATGGGAGGAGGGGGGTCTTAACCCTCCGTGCATGGCCAGCCCCATCTCAGGCTCTCAGTAGCATGCCCTCAGCTCCCCTTGCTCCCAGATACCCTCCGCAGACCAGCTGAACTGGAGCAGGATTCCTCTGCCCTGGAGACAAGAAGGGGCTGGCAAAGGGTCTATTTGCAAAAATGGCCATTGCCCCACCCTCCACCCCCACACCCTCTATCTGGATTGTCTCTCCAGTGTGCCAAGTGCACAGAGAATCTGGCAGACAAGCTTCTTCAGGTAAATGTGATGTCTTTTATCAGGTCAATGAAATATGTGGGAAAATTGTACTTTGCAGGTTTTCTGGTACAAGCATCCTTCTTCAGGCATAGGGAGAGTCTGTTGGTGTTTGTCTAAACTCTTGGGTGGGATACAGTGCCATAGGCCATCTAGGCCCAAAAGTGGACACAAGACTCCAGGCGAGGCCTCTCCAGTGCTAAGAAAAGGCTGACAGGGATGTCAGTGCCCTGAGGATTTTGGGCAGCTCTTCCACAGGCTGGTATGACCCCAGCACAAATCAAAGCTATGAGGAGTTCCTCCACTGGATCTGGTAAGGAGGGCACCTATGGAAGACCAACAACCAAGAGCTTCCCAGAACCCTCATGGCACTGCCATCCCTTTTCCACCCTTGGCCCACCTCCTTCAACAGGGCTTGTGGGCTGTGAACACCACATACGTTGTCTGTACAAGGGGAACCCTCCATCCGCCACCCCAAGAGGACTTCTCAGCTCCTGTGTGCTCTTCTTCAGCAGTGTCCAGGACTGTGATGAAAGGCAGGATCCCTCCCCTGGCTTATAAATGAAAGCAGACAACAAACTTGAGATGAGTCAAAAACTGTTCTGCAATTAATGACATCTGAGTTCATTGTGTTCTAAAGTTCACCATAATGCTGACTGCTGCAATAAAGCCAAGTCGGTATTATCACTCATAATTTACAGAAAGGATCATACCATGGTGGAGCACTGTGAGTGTATCAATTCTATTGCAGGCCAACTGGGTGCTGCGAGGGTATCAGCCACTGGGCTGTTCAGTTCAGTTTCGGATCAAGGAGGCAAAGTTAGGAGTGAAGCAAAGGCAAATTTATTATAACTTACACACACACAACAGTTAACAGAAAGATAAATGTAATAAGCAGATAATGAAGTATTAAAGAGCTAATAGTAAATAATAACAAGAGATAGATGGATCAATTCTGTCGCAGGCCAACTGGGCACTGAGAGAGTATCAGCCACTGGGCTGTTCAAAACAACAGATAGACAGACATGGGTTGGCAACTCATCGATAGTCCCTTGATGCCAGGTGCACACCAAGTGATTCCAGCGAAGTCAGGCATCCCCAATTGACGCTGTCCGAGGGATTGCTGGGGAAGATCCCTTGATCAAGTTCCGATCCTCAGCCACACTGGGAGTCCAGAGTCCGGGCTTGGAACAGCAATGACTGTTCTGTTCCCTCTTTCCTCCCTTCTGGTCACTTGACGCACACGCTTTTTATACCTAGTCTTATGCTAATCTGTTGGCTTTAGAGCCATTCACAATCTTCCATTTTAGCTGTTACCCTATGGGATTGAAAGGTGTTAAAAATTATCATAAAAGGTTACTACCCAAACTCGGGTTTATCCAATAAGCAAATTACAATGCAGGATCTTTACGTTTGAAATTAACATCACTAAGCCCAACCCTTTTAGGTTTCTCTGAATATGCTTCTTTTTTTTTAAATGTGCTTTCCTGGAAAGTGTTGGGTGAGCCAGGCGGTTGGATTCAGTTTTTATCATCAAGGCTGAACCCTGAGCAAAAACCGTTAGGTCAGCTGATCTTGCAGCTACAGCTTTGCCTTTGGGGCTCAGTCAGTTCCATGAGCAATATAAATAGTTTTATCATTTTGGTTAAACTTATGACAGACAAGTCACATTTGCGAGTTACAAGCTTACAAGCTTAATATTAGCTAACATTCTCTATTAGGCAAAATACGAAATGCCTCCAAGAAGCACATATTTATTGCTTATTAATCCTTCTAGTTCTGGCCATCACATGTGTTCTAAAGTTCACCATAATGCTGACTACTGCAATAAAGCCAAGTTGATTTTATCATTCATAATTCACAGAAAGGATCATAGCATGGTGGAGGTAATAAGAAGCTAAACAGGCAACGATAGCAAAACTGCATGACAATTATGGGTACACTCTGTCTACAACTAAGTGTGGTAATTTTCTGAGTACAACAGTCTGAAATGGTTGAATATTTTTAAAGTGTTCAGTTACAACTACTTACGTGAATGGAAGTGCCAAATAGAATATGCAAAGTATATGCAAGTACTGAAGTCCTGATGAATATTCAGATGAATAATAAATGGCCTGAATGTCCATGCGGTGAACCTTTCATGGAATCATAGAATCATAGCAGTCGGGTCGGAAGGGACCTTGTAGATCTTCAAGTCCGACCCCCTGCCTGGGCAGGAGAGAAACTGGGCTCAAATGACCC